CCTGGACAAAGCGGAACTTAGTTGTTCCTCTACTAGATCGGTGAAAGCACATACATTCATGATAATATTATCGTTTTTTCACTGAATTTTCTTAAACTGACGTCCATTTTGGTCATGACACTGCTGACAACGCAAAGCAATGGAACCGTAAACACCATGAAACAATTCCCTTGGCATTCGGGTGCATTCATGTTCAATGGCTTCTGTCAATTCAGCCAATGTTGCAATAGTCAAAGTGCACTAAAAAATAAAAGGATACTTGTAAATATTTCTTTCATTTTTGAAATAATCAAATTATAATTAACACTAAGTTTACATTTATTTAAAAAGTGTATACATTTTTTGGGACGCCCAGTATTAGGACAGATTGTCATTCTAGTGTCATTTCGTCATCCAGCATGTTTAGGCTAAAGTCTCAAGCAAACAAATAAAGGTCATACTCAGTTAAGGGTTTCTTAGATTTAAATAAAATAGCCTAGGTTCATGAATCCAATGACAGGTCTTCAAGATGAGGAGCAGACAAGAGAGTTCCTAATGGTCAACAAAACGAAATTTCCCAAATAATAAGTCAGGGAAGACAAACTGGGTTGGACAAACTTTTTTGAGATAGATGAATGTACAGGAAGCTCTGCAAGCAATTTTTGCAAGCCCTCTCTTCATGCAAGTGTGTCAGTGTCCACCGTAGACCCCAAGCGCATGTGCATCCCTGCTTTGTCTCCGCTTGCGGCCGGTCACTGAAGGACATACGTTGATTGGCTGATGCCATGTTGCGGACGGCTCCAGCAGCGGACCTATCGGGAACACGAGGCAGACAAAAATGCAATATAGTTATGCGGGGGCAATGGTACCGACAGAAGCGGATGGCCACATATTCCTAACAGAGTCCTAGAAACCCCGATATGTTTGATAAAACCAGCCAGATTCATTCACTTCTCTAACGATCTGGTGCGTTGTATCATGCGAATTAGTGCCCAGTGGCTTTCGGTGATCTAGTTTCCGCGTCTTGATTAGGCACCTTCATTATTATACGTATAGTTGTTTTTGTGGGCGTTTTAGTATCACATTTAAATTACTCCACTTTTCAGCACCCGTAGACTGGGAGCCCTGTGCGATGCCTGATGATGCCGTCGATCTCTGTGACTTCCACGTCATTGGAGGCGTGTTTCAGTTTGACCTACTGACACTCCCCAGACAGCCGAAAACCGGTCGTGGCTGGTTGATAACCACATGCGTTGTGCCTCCAAAACTGACGCCCTTTGACTATGTCGTAGATCGTCCGGATGACGACGATGACGAGGAGGAGGAGGAGGAGGAAGAAGGGGATGCTGAAACTGAAGAGGCCGGTGAGGACGAAGAGGAGGAGGGAGAGGAAGACGAGGAGGAAGAAGAGGAAGAGGCACAAGATAAGCAAGGAGCCGAGGGCGGTGGCGAAGCGGCAGCTGTGGCAGCTCCAGGTTAGTAACTACGATTTTTCGTTTTTAACTTTTTTCCTTTCATAGCTGCAGGAGGTTGGTCGGGCACCGGAGACTTGCACAGGCGTCTGTCTCGTGTGCCGAGAAAGATATAAAGTGCACAATATCCAGCAGATCTCTTCAGAGCAAAACAACTGGTATTTTTTTAGGTCTGGGGGCAGTTGAGCAGGGAAGTCTACGCGGATAAGAATAAATTGATTTACAGTCCAGCATAACTGCTTATTGAAGTGCACAGCTAGTTACCCTGGTATTCAAATTTTTCTGAAGGCTGTTGAATGATCCACAGACACTCGTGTTATCCACTCCAGGTGGTTGCGGCGTAGTCGCGTTTATGTAGATTTAGGGGTTTCATTCACACCATTAATTGCTCCAAGCCTGTGACCGCTCTTGCTATCTGCGGTGGGGCAGGCATTGCAACCATGGCCGTTTGTATAAGTCGCCCGCAGGCTCTTTGTATGTGATTATTCTCAGGCAGTATATCATTCAGTGACAAAAGGTAAACCAACTTGGTGCATATGCGCTCCCGAACTAAAACCGGCAAGACCACGAGCCCGTGACTCAATCGTTAGAACGTTGGACTTCTGCACGACAGGTTGCGGGTTCGAGCCTCGGGCGGTTCGCCACCCGG